AGAGAGAGAGAGAGAGAGAGAAATGGCAATAAGGAGAGTGTGCTATTCCTACAGCAAAGCATGGAGCTGTTTTAAAATCCTTACCTAAACAAGCCGGAGTGGCTGTAGAACGGATCCACTCTACGCCCTGGGGACCTGCTATCCTTGCTGGTTCTGTGATTTCAGTTCATTTGAGATAATAGCCTCCTCACCTCTTTCCCTTCCCCATCCCTGAAACTGGACTCCATGGGTGTTTGATCTATTTTTGCTTCTTTTGTGACTTAAGGATGGAGGAATTGGTTTGCCTTGATGACTTGGTGTTTAGAGAGTAGTTATGCTTTCACCAAATATTCAGTACCTTGGCCACTTTATGAGAAATATCTAGGCTCAAATAGATGCAAGTGCATGCATGCAAGTGTGAGCGCACATATACATATGCATATACACACGGAGATTGTCAGAGCACTGAACTAGAAGAGGACAGCAGTCAGCTACACACTTCTTCCAGGATCACTCCCTAGTAGCGCTCTTTGAGTCACACTATATGACAGGGCAGCTTTACAATTAGAAGCAGAGCTTCGTTACATATATTAAAAACCATTTGATTATGTCAAGCCAAGGTTTCCTCCACACTGCAAGTTGCAAATTAGCTTCTTCCTCTTTCCCCTCCTCCACCCCTTGTGATTCGTAATGAGGGTATGTTTGCAAGTTGATTGTACAGGTACAGTAGCTTTGAAAGAATGTGTGTCTGGAGGTTAAAATTCTAGGCTTCTTGCTCATGTGGAAAGTCCAGTTGTGATCTGGAATGTCTTCTCGGTAGCTTCTTGCCTTCCACATGGAAAGCAACATCAAAGAAAGGAGGAGCAAGGTATTCCCCTTGAAGTGTGTACGGCTTCTCTGGATAGAGCACAACTGAATAATCCTCTTGTCTCCTTTGTGTCCTTAGCTATATTCTCTCGGTGATCTTGAACTTGGCACTTGCACTGGGTTTTGACTACAGGAATGAATGCATGCAGACCCTTGGTTGTGCTGCCTCAATATTTTCCCAGAGCTTGCCTGGCACCCTGCCTGCTCTTCTTTGCCCTGTTGCAACACCACCTTCTCCTCTTGGGCCATGCATTGGTGTCTGCAGAACTTTCCTTTCTGCTTGTTCTCCTTCATAGCCAGACACTGCTTCCCACAGGCACAGAGCATGAAGCTATATTTGCACAGTGTCTAGCTCAGCATTTCTCAGCCTGGAGTTCGTGATGCCCAAAGAGGGTTGGAAAGTGTTTTCTGGGAGCATCGCGGGTTGTCGTATATGCGTTGTAGCCCTTGTTTAATGATTTCTTCCTTGACCTTTCAGAGCACGATATTAAAGTTAGCATGTGTGCGTATGTATGAGAAATAGGCCCTTGGGGAGAGAAAGAAGCCTTTGCTTTCTGAGAAGGGAGATCTTTACCTCATAAAAATGCCTTTTTATGCAAATGTGGCAAGTGGTGTCACAGGTTACTTGGTATTATAAAAGGGGGCATGACTTGAAAAAGGTTGGGAACTACTGGTCTAGCTGTTGCATTTATGCAATATCCTTTGCAGTGCTGATGTCTAATCACAGTTAGACAGCTTGGTCCAGTTCCTGGGATAGTCGCACTTAAGATTGCCAGGTCACCAGCATCCCATTCCCTGGGATTTAGCAGAAAAGAATGAGAATGGGGGCCTTGTGCTGCCAAGGTGTGGATTTTAGCAAGTGGGTGCAGCAGCAGCAGCTCTGGAGCACAGAAAATAATGGGGGAAAGACATGGATGCTTCCGAACATATCTAAATGACCTGCCATTAGAATGAGCCACCTAGTGTAGGATCTGACTCTCTGAGATTTGTGGTCCAAAGCCTGAGATCCCAAGACCCCAAAACCTGAATCACAGGGCCAAAATAGAAGACCTGGCAATCTTTAGGAGAAAGGCAGCATATAAATATTTTAGACAGACAGACAGACAGACAGACAGACAGACAGACAGACAGACAGACAGACAGAAACCACATTTGGTTGTTATTTCCCCTATTACATTTGGGGAAGTCAATGTCAGTCTCCAAAAAGTGTAAGTCTTGTGAAAGCATTGTGAGTTGCTCAAAGTCTCAGATAGGGACTGGTAGAATTCTTGCCTGGAGATACTGTTGGGAAAGTTACAGTTACTTCCACATTAAGAGAGATTCGCCAACAGAGAAAGGCCTTCTGAGGGAATAAGCAGTCCAAAACGTTTTGATAGAGCTGAAATGGTAAAGATTAGATGCTTGTTGTGTCTTTTGTTATTATGCATTTCTTATTGCCTTGATTTTTGATTTTATAGGAAACAGAAGTGTTCTGAGAGGAAGAACTAATCTGAGAACTTGAATAAGTTTCCTATGCATGCCAGCTCACCTCTAAACCTTGCTAAGTCTCCTCCTTAATGTAAGAAGTGCACTTCTAAATTAATTCTAAATCCATTGGTATTATTCCCATAAAACAATTCTGCATATACAGTATTGTCACAGAATGGTAAAAAAAATGTATGTGGGCTGAAGCAATAATGTTATATTGATGTTGCCACTTTACAGGTGGTGAAATGTATAAATAATGTGTAAAAAGTTTAGTTTGAACTTTTTCCTATTTTTCCCTTCATCAGGGTGAAATTGCATGGACTATGACTAGAAATATTTGCAATACATAACGTGGTTCACTAAAGGGAGATGGTAGTGGACTGCGGCTCCCAGCATTCTTGACGAGGGGATATGCTGGCTAGGCCTGAGGGCAGTTGCCGTGCAGGGCCTCCGTTTGCCTTCCTCTGATACCAACAGTGACCTCACAATAAGTCAGGTTTTCTGAAAACTACAGTAGGTGGAGAAATTTTCACAGGGCAGTATAATGTTGGATGCACTTCATCAGTGTGATGTCTTGGGGCCCCCTATCCTCGATATATCATTGTTCCGGCATGGCTGACAGTGGAATCTAATCACTCCAAGATTAAAATATGGAAATATCTAAGCAGGCATGAGTACCTCTCTAAAGAAAGAATGTCATTTTCCTTACTCGGAGGATAGGATAGATATTATTGATTAAAAGATTGGCAATTGGCCTGACTTTAACAGAACTGAAGAGCAAGGAACCTGGCTTTGTTTCTGTGTTTCAAAACATTTTACCATCCTGCATTTTGCTCGATGAGGTGTTAGCACCCTTTAATTTGCACTTGGGAACAGCCCTGAAGTTTTAGAAGGAACACGGGCCATGGACAACAGAGGCATCGGCTTTGACCAAGGACAGAATAGGAGTACATTCTTTTCCAGAGAAGTGAAAACTGTGTACTGGCATCGAAGACTAAGAACGACATAATCTGCAGGCAGATAAAGAGTTTGCAAAGAATATTAAGAGAGAATTTGAATGAATGGGCAGTTTTCTGGCTTTGGGCTACAAGCCAAGGATGTGGGAAAGTGATATTGTTGTATTAGCTAAGGGCAGTGAGACTTACACTTTTTTGGAGACTGACATTGACTTCCCAAATGTAATAGGGGAAATAACAACCAAATGTGGTTTTAGTGGTATGTTTGTTTTCCATGCTGAGTTTTTAATTCAGATACAATAGACAACAGCTATACTGCAAGGGTTTTCCCACCCAATTAGGAAATATTTATAGAGAAGATCATATAGGAATGCTGTTAATTCATGCCGATAAATCAAACTATGAAAAATCTTGCAGTTCAAAGTGGGCATTCCTAAGGGATGACAGGAAGACATCATACCCAGAAGATAGGGGCTCCTTTCTCATTTCCTTCTAGGTTCTGAGGGCTAATGATTTATCTGGAATTACTGTATTCATTACATCAACACTGGAGGCATTGAAGAGAAACTTAGACAATCACCTGGCAGATATCCTTTGATCTGTATTCCTGCATGGAGCAGGGTATTGGACTTGGTCTAGGCTTCTCCCCATTTCAATATTCTATGATTCTATGATCATCACAGCTTTATTGGCTGAGGGAAAAGATTTGGGAGCATATGGCTGCTTAATTGCCGAGAAGCAGAGGAGCACAACACAGAATAAATAGTCACCGTTAACATATCTTCAACAGATCAGGTGTTTTTTATAAGGAGGGTGAGAGTTACATTTTGCAAATAATGTGATGAATGGGCATAAAGAAGGGGTGTATTGAGTAACATTTACTAATAAATTTTAAAAGATAAAAGATGTTTTTGGATACATTCGGAGTAGAATCTTTCAGTTTCTATGTGTGTTCTCTTATTGACCATAAGGTTGAGGATATATATTTTTTTAAGTACATAATGTGCAATAAGTTCTTTTCGAGGTTATTAACTCATAAGGTTGCTGCTGAGTTGGAAGCGACTTCACAGCACATTAGAACAATGAGTAGGACAACAAGTTACCAATTTTTTTAAAACTGTATCATTTACAGTCACCTATTACTCAGAGTAGGGGGTCTGTTACAAATTACGGGAGTGACTACTTAAAACAAAAGTTACCTTTCCAAACTTTGTGATGGAAGTTGAAGTGTGTTAACTAAGGAACAACACACGTTTTCTGTGTATCAGGAAGGGCTCAACGGTGTGTGTGGGGTGAAAACAAAAGTTACCTTTCCAAACTTTGTGACGGAAGTTGAGGTGTGTTAACTAAGGAACAACACACATTTTCTGTGTATCAGGAAGGGCTTAAAGGTGTGTGGGGGGGGGGAGTTGGTGTAAGAGACCCAGCTATGCCTGTGGCTGCTGCAGCTCTTGCCTTATTTTGTTGTATGGGTGCTACTTTACTTCTTGTAACCTCAGTGTTGCCTCTGCCAGGAGGAGCTGCAATTGTTGAGTATCTGCCTGTCCTTTAAAAAGATCCATACATCTGCTAGGAGGGGGAAAGTGCCAGCTGTATTTCACTGGCACTGGACAACAGGCAGCACAAAGCACAACAAAATGAGTTGGCTCAACAGTCTGTTCTGTTAATGACCGCATGTGGAAGAGCAATGGCATAATTAACCAGAGTTATGGAAAGGTAGTTATCACTGATTAAATGGAAAATGCTGCCAAAAGTGCTTCATTTGGGGGCAGGAAGGGATGCTAATCTTTGAGAAGTAGTCCTTTGCCAGGAGCAGTGCATGGGAAAGCATCTCATTGCCTCACCAGTGATTATGCCGCCTGAGCACCTGCAGGAAAGCCAACAATGATCGCTCATGGCCTTAACCTTCTTTTGGTTAACAGAAAACAGCATAAATCCTTTGCACTGCCACTAGCCTCTATTGACACCAGTGTAAGCATCCTTCTGCCCATCATAGCATCAAGGTAAACAAGTACTGTATTTATGGCAGAAATGGAAAACCTTTTCCTTCTAAAGAGAATGCCCATCATAGCATCAAGGTAAACAAGTATTTATGGCAGAAATGGAAAACCTTCTAAAGAGACATCCACTTGGGATAAGCTGAACGAGACTGCATGCCAGCAATAGGCATGGCTGAAACAAGTATTGGGCAGGTTCAGACCTTGTCATAAGTAATTCTGGATAAATCTCCCCCAAGCCCCCGGCCAGCATAGTCACTGGCCACATTGGCTAAGGGATTCTGGAAGCTGTAGTCCAAAAAAATAATAGCGTATTGCCAAGATCTTGGTGGAACCTAAGCTAAAAGGAGGGAAGTCCCCATCCAAACCATTTCTTTGGTTTCTCTACTTCCTCTTCTGTTTGGTATGGTCTTCCTCTTTTCTTCTGATAGAACAATTGGAAGTTGCAGAGGGTTTCTGAAGATTGGTCAGGAACCAAATAAGTTCAGACCCTAGATCAGGTCTCAGGTTGTCTACTCCCAATTTAAGGTTATGAACAGTGACCTAAACCACCATGGGGGTCAGTAGCTTTATAAGTATACAGTTCCGACCCTTATTCCTAATAAATAATAATCTTGTGCTGTCAAGTCAGTTCCGGCTTAATAATAATCTTGTGCTGTCAAGTCAATTCCGGCTGTACTCAGAGTAGTTCAGGGTTTTATAGGTAGAAAACACTCAGAAGTGGTTTACTATTCCCTTCTTCTGGGGGTGTCCTGGGACTGTGCATCTTGCCCAAGGCTGCACAGGTTGGGTCTATTCAGAGCCAACCCCTGGCTCTGTAGCCAATACAGTGCAAGGCGATGTTGCATATGTAGTCCAAAATGGCGTCCCGATAGTCAGGCAGGAGCATTTCTCCTGTCACTTTGGTCTGTTCTCTTTCCTTTTTCTCTTGTTTTTGTTTTATTCTTGCTTGATCTCTATCTTGATTTACCTTGTTTGTCTCAACCTCTTTTGGTCACTTTGCTTCATTTACTCCTTTGAACTGTTTGGTCTCCCTCATCTGGTGAGCATCCTAGTGGTTGTTGTGCTGTTCTGGAGGCTGTTCTGGAGGACAAGGATGAGAGCTTGCTCGGTGGGACTAATGCTGCGAGGCAGAGCCTGGTGCTACAAGGCTTGTTTGGAGCCCTGCACTGCGAGGCTTGGAAGAACCCGACCCCGTGAAGCTTGGTGAGCCCGGCACTGAAAGGCTGAGTGGCTTGTTGGAAGTTGGAGAGGCTCATCGGAGCCCTGCATTGTAAAACTATGCCAGCTGTGCGGTTAATGGTTCCAAACGGCATTGGGAATGGTGGCAATGGTGGACGCAGAGTGAGCTGAGGCGGCAGCACTGTTATCCACTTAATAGTCTCCCAAATGTTTTGCTCTGTGAGTTCTGTGGTTCCATCATCAACAACAGCCATAGAAATCACTCTCCCTCACTTCTTCATGTGGCATGCTTTGTGAGGGTTTTTCATCTGACCTACCACCATGGAGAATGGCAACAACGGCACCTATTTTCTATCAACTCTCCTGCTACCTTTATTCCACCTTCTGATCATCAGACAAAGTTTCACTTGCAATCACTGCCCCCATTAACTTAATTCCAACAGCCTCCTTGGAAAAGACAAGATCGACAGCCCAATTGCAACAGGACAAGACCTGGGTGGGTGAGGGACATCCTGGCTTTAAATGTTTCTATTTTTACTCTATTTTATTTCATTCCATTTCAGTTCACTCTGGTTCTTTTGTCCTTACTCATCTTTATTAAACAATTACTCGTCTTAAACAAACTTATACACTTACACTTAGTGGGGTGGGCGGATGGGCTTTTCTTTAACTATACGAACTAGTTTACCCTACCCTAAGTTGCAATAATTATTTAAATTGTATTAATGCTTTGCTTACTTTTATTGATTCTAATTTAATTAACAGTGTTTAATTTATTTTGCTTATGTTAATTATGTTACTGTTTATTATTGTGTACTTACTCTTACGTCTCTCATAAGCAGAGAGAGTGTGGCGCATCGATGGTGACTGACCATCATTTGGTCCACTTTTCATGGTTGGACCACCACCTGATAAAGTGCAATCTTATGGTGGCCCTCTCTCCCTGTGGGGAGCAGAGACCTATTTTCATGGTCCACCCTCACAGGCTATTGGATCCTACTGGATTCCAGGATACCATGTGTAGGATTCCGACTCACCTGGCTGGTGCTCCTGTCAAAGCCCTGGTGGATGGCTGGTATGCTGCCACTGCCAGGGCTGTAAACATGATCGCTCCTAAACGCCCTCTCCACCGCAGAGCCCGACCAGCACCTTGGTTTAACCAGCAGCTGTTGGCTATGAAGTGGAATAGGAAAAGGCTAGAGAGTGTCTGGAGGCAGAACCCAACGGAAGATAACTTAAAAGCTGCCAAGGTCACGTCTAACCTCTACCTTGCTAAGATAGAGGCTGCTAGAAAAGCTTGCTTCATTGTTCGGATAAACGAAGCATCCAATCAGCAGGAAGATTTTTTCCGTATAGTATGCAACCTATTCGGAACTGGCCACAATGATTGGCCTCCATCTATTATTTCTTGTGACTAATTTGCAGCATTTTTAAAATCAAAAGTGGAATTCATCTGCCAGGATCTTGCACCCTATTTGAAAACAGTGGATTGAGCTGAGACGTCCATTTGTCCATTGAGAATTACTCAGTTTCAGCCTGTGACATCCACAGAGGTAGACAAGATCTTGATCGCTATTGAGCCTCCTCCTCCCTTGACCCTTGCACAGCCTGGCTAATCAAAACTGCCAGGCTGGTGATAACTGAATGGGCTACTGAGATAATAAATGGGTCTCTTCTTGAGGTTAAGAAAACACTCATTAGACCCATTAGGAAGAAACCAAGCTTGGCAGCAGACAACATTGGCAATTATAGGCCTGTCACCAGTGTTTCATTCCTTAGCAAGGTAGTTGAGAGGGGGGTGGCTGACCAGCTTCAAGCTCTCTTGGATGAAACTGATGTCCTGGATCCATTTCAGTCAGGCTTCAGACTGTGCCATGGCATGGAAACAGCATTGGTCACCCTGCTGGATGACCTTCTTAGGGAGGCCAACAGGGGCAAAATGCCCTTGCTCGTCCTCCTTGATATCTCAGCCATTTTTGATACTGTTGACTACGGTGTCCTCCTGGAGAGGCTCTCCGAGTTGGGGATGGGTGGCCTTCCTCTCACCTGGCTCTGGTCCTTCTTGGAGGGTAGTCTCCAGAGAGTTCAGCTTGGGGAGAATGTATCAGCCCTGTGGTCCCGCAGGGTTTGGTCATCGGCCCTGTGGGGTCCCACAGGGTTTGATCATCTCCCCAATACTGTTTAAGATCTACTGTATATGAGGCCATTGGGGGGGTCATCTCCCTGGATGTTGAGCTTCCTGTCACCAATATGCTGATGACACCCAGCTCTACATCTCCTTTTTTTCCATTTGCAGTGAATGCCATTCCGTCCCTTGGGTGATGCCTGGAGGCCGTTCTACAATGAATGCAGTCTAATGGACTAAGGTTGAACCCCGATAAGACGGAGGTCTTGCGGGTGGGTGGCCCCAATGTCAGTGGTTTGGGGAACTCCCTCTCTTTTGGGCGGGTGACTCTCACACAAACAGTTCACAGTCTAGAGGTCCATCTTGACCCACCGCTTACCATGGAGACTCAGATAGTGTCCGTGGTTCAGTCTGCCCATTTACATCTTTGGCGGATTGCCCAGCTGCATCCCTATCTAGACTTGGGGGTGCTCATTCATGGGGGTGCTCACCATGCTGGTCCATGCGCTCGTAGTCTCAAGAATAGACAACTGTAATGCTCTTTATCTGGC